GGTAAATACTATTCGTTCTTACTGGTTTTAACTCTATTTGGTCGTAAACATTTTGTTATAACTACTACATTATAGTTGTCACTCAATAGTGCATTATAACTTAAATTGTATAACATTATCATTATTATAAATAAGGAAATGTCTACACCCATAAAAACCTAAAATAAACGTATTACTTTAGCTTCATATCAGAACTTTTTTTATATTATCCTTAAGGAATACTAAAACTATAAACAAATATTCCTCCACCACATAAACTGTCGATAAAATCGTAAGAAAAACAAATATTTGTGCGTATTGTACTGCATACGTATTATGTATTTCATGTTATCATATACAGTAATTGTCACTTTTGATGGGTCCTACAAATGGAAATGGGCGAAGACAAATATTTGTTTGTCGGAAAATAACGAGTGATAATATCAGTAATATTTGTTGAGGAAGGGAAATAGGGGCAGTTCCAAAAAGTAAGAAAATTGTGTTGAAAATAAGAAAAATATTATTTTCCCTGAAGAAAATAGTACCTGAAATTAGTGTTTTCTAATACTTAATAGAATTTATTCGGTATTTTCAACTTTTTTTTTTCAGTTGGAGACAACTTTTAGGAGAATCAAACACATATTTTAAGGGGTCGTTATAAATTTGATATTGCTATACTTAAATACAATCAGCTTATGAAATATTATCAAAAACATATGTATTGATATATGCATAAATCTAAAAAATTAGTAAATCTCTTTTCCAACTTTTCATGTGCATTGAAATATAATTGATTTAAGATTTTACAAATGGACCACCTGCCAGTCAGGACCTTGATCGACTGCAGTTTCAATTTATTTTATTTATATTAAGTTTTTATATAAAACGAAAATTAAAATTTTTTTCATTCTATGATACCATTTCTTAAAATTTTTGTCTTGACTTCAATACTTGGTGAGCTGGATCAAAGGATATAAAGGTCCTTTTTTAAGGTTTTCATGATTTTTATCATATTTCTGGCAAATAAATCATAGGCAAATTTTGTATCATATGAAAGGTTTTTGGAAGGCGATATCAACAACATAACACAAAATTGTATACAACTCCAAAAATATTACAAATGTTGTAATTTTACGGAAAATTTTTAAGTTTTTCAAATTTTTATATAGAATTATTTAATGTAATTAATTGAAATTATTACATTATAAACCTCATATAATTTCAACGAAACGGTTTTTTCTGTTTCTCTTAATTCGATATGTTTTGTATTTTATTTAAATATTTTAAATCATATCCCCGCCGTTATTGTGCTAGCTATAAACGCGCAATTTCATTAGCTTTAATGTTTCATTCCATTAGAAATCAAATTTTTCAAATTAACTAAAATATTAAAATAATTTATCCTAAACATCTACTTATTTGTTATGATTGCTTTGTTAATAACGGTTTGTATGTTGTTGTTTACATAGTTTTGCAATGTTTTGGTATCGTACATAGGTTTCAATCAAATAAAATTCGATCTAGATTTAATTTTGAAAAACGTTAAAAACCGTTTCCGTAGATTTTATTCAGGAATTTTATGTATTAATTTCAACGAGTTATTTAAAATTCATCGGTCTTAAAATGTAAATAATCTGAAAATTTCCCGAAAAATTACAAAATTTCGATTACTTTTGCTGTTACAAAAAATTCTGATATGCCATTGAAAGCGTCTCTCAAGGACCTTTCTTATGATACCAAAATCGGAAAAACTTCAAAAAAGGACTTTTTGATCCTTTGATCCAGCTCACCAAATATTAACGGCAGGTCAAAATTTTTGAGAAATTAAATTTTCATTTTAGATGGGAACATTGACACCTTTTTTTTCTCCACATAAATGGGGCCACCCTAATGTACATATATAAATTAAAAACCACATATTGCACTAACGAAAATTTACCACATTTCATTATACTCTACATTCTAACAAATACGTGTATGTATTTATGTATAGAATAAAATAATTTGTCTTACCATATTAAGCGATATACAATGTACAAATTGATAACATTGTATAAACATAAAAACCATAAAAACCACAACCTATATTACAAATAGTTAAATTCCTAATGTTGCTCATCAAATGCTATTTTAATAAGTGTAACTATAATATTGGTTTATATAAATATTTATCACATATACAAATATGTATCTACTTTAAATGGCTAACAAAATTATTACCAGTTGTTTTACGACAATGTTTTTATAGACGGATGGACATATTAAATCGATTAAGATATTGATTCTGGGAAGATTTATAAAATTCAGTGGTAAGTAAATGGTAATGAAATTCTTATAAACAAATTTTAAATGCTTGATATTATTATAAACTGACTTCTCTAGAAAATATGTACCATACAAAAGTCTATTATATAGTTTTGTCAATTTTAAAAATGTTTAATATTTTCTGTGTACGAATGATTTTTGTTGTAAGCGTCAAAATTATGATAAGTAAAAATTCAGTTTATGTAGGTTCAGATCCGTTTGAAAATTATAAAAAAAAATCATAAAATGCTTTACTCAAAACTATGTTTTTTTGATTTATGGCGATCTTATAGTAAATGAGCGAGCGGAAAACAAATATTCTTATATGTGTCTGTGTGTATGATGGAATTTCATTTTGACATATACTATTATATGAATGTTTTTATTTGTATATTTATGTCTGCGTGTTCTTCATTTCCGGCGAGTCGGAAGAATAACAAACTGATTTTGTATAGACAAATACAGTGCTCAATAGGATAGAATTTGTTGAAGTATAAATACTTAAATGTTTTTTACTTTATTTATTTTATACTAAAGAAATATTTTTTACTTTAAACATTTTTTGAAACTTTAATATGAAAACAATTTTTATATCGGGAATGCGTTAATAACACTAGTTTACAAATTTATACTTTTTATTTGCTCATGTAATGAAACATATATTTATGAAAAGGGCTATGTCCGATAGCTTTTTCCTATACGTAAACATTTTGCGTTAAAGAGTTTTTAAATTTTGCATCATCATTCAGAAATACTGGTAAAATATTTTAAAATTAATATTGATTTTGGAATGCTTGCGTCTTTTTAGGGAACCTCATAATCAACTCAGAAAAAAACTTAGATTATATTAAATTTAGAACTTTCCTAAACCACTTTTTATTTTTTTATTTTTACCAGCTTTTTTGTAATGTTTTTCTTACGTTTTTATTTTTTGAATTAAAATAAATTTCGAAAATATTATTAACAATTTATTCCAGAATTATAAACCTGCGGATTTAAATATAACCTCAAAATTCAGTTGTTACATTCTCTTCTATATTGTTCCAAAAAAACTCTTCGAAGTATTAGTGATAAATCTGACATCTATTCACCAAGATTTAAGATTATTTCAAAGGAATTTTTCAATATTTTAGTGATAAAAAATCAATTGCCAAAGTTCCGTTAGTAAGAACCATAAAATTGTTTATATAAAAAATACAAAAAACTTTAAAAAACTTCCGAATTTAACGCTTTCTAGAATTTTTTTGAATAATTAAAAGATTTGACATCCTAAATGTTTTTTAAATATATTTTATGGACTTGGACGGCCTAAATAAAGAAACCCATATAGATTTTATATTCTAAACTAAATCGTTGTAAACTAGTGTAATTATTTGTTATTGCATTAACTTTAATTTTGACTTTATTATGGTACATGGTACTTTTAAATACATAATTAACATTTCAAAAATTCATTTTCATTTCATTTACCTTTTTAACAGATTAAATTAAATAAATTCTTAGATGGCGTGTCATAATGTCCGTGGACATTATGACACACTAAATTGAGTCATAATGTCCATGGACGTTAATGCAATATCAAAAGTGTCACATTGTTCATGAGCATTGTGACAGAAAGTCCATGGATTTTAAGGTGGCGTGTCATAATGTCCAGTGACATAATGTCCATGACACACTAAATTGAGTCATACAGTCCATGGACGTAATGACAGTTTTAAAAGTGTCCCAATGTCTATGAGCAAAATGACATAAAGTCCATGGGTTTCAAAAAGTGTCCATTTATAAAAAAAAGGCTTAATTTAGCGATGTTGGTATTCGAAATACACCAGAGTAGAAAATCCTTGCGCCCGTCCGAAGGCCCGCTTTCCAGGACACTTTTTAAAAGGAATCCAAAATGCAACATACACCAAATTTAGGAGCAATTCTGTTCGGTATGAGAGTGTCCCTTTCCTAAATTCTAAACAAATTATCCAATACATTTCTGTTTTAAAAGTATCACAATGTCCATGGACATTATGACACCTTTAAAAAATTGTCATAACAACACTGGACATTATGTCACTGGACATTATGTCACTGGACATTATGTCACACTAAAAAGTGTCCATGGATGTTATGACATTTTTTAAAAGTGTCATAATGTCCATGGACATTGTGACACTTTTAAAACAGAAATGTATTGGAAAGTTTGTTTAGAATTTAGGATAGAGACACTTTCATCCCAAAAAGTATAGCTCCTAAATTTGGTGTATGTTGCTTTTCCTTCCTTTTAAAAAGTGGCCTGGATAGACAGCCTTCGGCCGGGCGCTAAGGTTTTAAACTCTGGGGTATTTCGAATACTAAATTAAGCCTTTTTTTATAAATGGACACTTTTTGAAAACCATGGACTTTATGTCATTTTGCTCACAGACATAACGTCTATGGACATTATGTCACTGGACATTATGACACGCCAACGATTTCAAAGAGTCCATTTATCAGAAAAAGGCTTACTCTAGAGAAGCCGGTATTCGTTATACCCCAGAGTTTAAAACTCCTCCACCCGGCCGAAGGAGTCACTTTATGGTGTGTCATAAGGTCTATGGACATTATGACGCTGGACAATATGACAAGCCACCAAATTCTTATACTAAATGTAAGCTTTTTGGACTGAACGTAACTATTTTGCTTGTCACGCATGTATTATGTTTTATACAGATCAAATCAATTTAACTTACTTTATTTTCTCCCAAATTTCTTCGCCAAAATGCTTGAGCACCAACAGCTCCAGAGCGTAGTTAACAAATCCATACTAAAAATAAATAAATATTTATAATAAAAATTTTTGTATTTTTAGGAAAAAATATGTGTTGAACTCGTTCAGGTATAAAAGTAATTTTAATATTAATTAATTATCGAAAAAGGGACTAAATGGCATGAAATAAAAATAAATTTTTGAGCGGGATATCATGGGTAAACAGCATTTGTTGGGGTCGTTAAGAAGTGTATAATTTGGTCTCTAGATTAAAAGTCAAAATGAAAAACATTTAGCTGAAAGATTTTTTTCGATTTAGTTTATTTTGAAAATCAATTGTGACGGTCCTATAGAACAACAAAAATTGCCTGTGATTTTTTGCTTTTTTTTGTTTTTTTTTACATGCTTTGGCAGTAGTTGTTAACTATTATTCACCTATACGTATACTTAATTTTTATTTACTTATTACTAATATAGTGCTCATACGCCTTCGGGTGTAAGTATAATACTTACCATTTTGTATAATGTGCGTTGTTGCAGTTGTTAATTGTTTAAATAATTATTTTATATTGATTGAATGATTAAAATGAGCTTTTAATTTTGTTATTAAATTTTTTATAATAAATTTTCAAATAAACACGTTTTATTTTAATTTAATATATAAATCACTGCAAATTAACAGAAAGGTATATATTTAATTCATGAATATATTTTTTTTTAATTAATGTCGTACACTTATAAGTTAACACGTAATGCGTATTTTTTTAGTTATTTTTTTTAATTTTTTATATAAGTAATATAGAGGAAAAAGTACTCTGCTGTTGCTGTGCAAACACAAGTCAGCGGAATTTTTTAATTGTGGACATACTAGCAGTAGTAGTTGTTTGCATGGTATATTTAACTTAAAAATTAACCAACACCAATATTAAATAATAAATAAAAAAGAACACCAAAGTATTAAATAAGCAAAATATACTAACTTTCAGTTTTTTAATGGTTGGCTTAATCTGCTTTTTATGACTTAAAAATCAAATTAACAAAAAAAGTTTAAATTATAAAATAAATACGAGGAAGAACATGAAAAAAATTTAAAAATTTTGTGATTTAATGAGAAGTAGGTTTCTTTTTTGAAGTTAAGCTATTCATCGAGCAGAATCTTTATATTTAAAAAATAGAAAATCGAGACAAAACGTTAAACATGTCTTGGTAATCTAGTTAGCAGTTTTATAGTTCTTTTAGTCCATGGTTCATGTATATGATTCTTACCACAGAATCATATAATTCAGTATTGTATTTGTTTATTGATCAAAATCAAAATAAGTCGAAATTGTACATCTTTCTTTCATATATTAGGATAGAAGTTGTTGCAAATTTAATCCCGTGATCGGTGATTTTGAAAACTTTCTGGGTATGCTTCGTTATCATGGTTAAAAGTTAAATGTATGTATATTACCAAATTGTGTTTAGTAGATTGCATGTTTAAAATAATTTGTAGACCTTAAGCAAACATATACATACGTTTTTAATGTGTATACTTTCATACAAACTTTAATGCTGCTGCTAAATATTGCATGCATGCATGTAAAATAGGGTAACACCCTAGACAAGTTCATTTTCTAAATTTCTCAAAATGTTTATCATAGAATTTTTTATTTAACATTGGGTAGTGATTAAGAATTGGGAACACATAAACATTTTTTATTAATTATAATAAATTAAAAAGCTAGTGAAGATTTTAGCATTTGTTTCATAACTCTACCAATAACTGGTGAATACTAGATTTGATTTCTGAACTTTAAAAGTTTTATTTCACAGTAAATTTATTAGACCACCTTAATATGTATAGCATGTTAATGATTACATATTTTCTGTCGTTTTTAAAAGAAACTTTCTAGTTTTCTTTAAGAAAATTATTTGAATTTTTATGTATTTTAAAAAGATTTTTTAATGGTTTTTTCTTTTTGTTTTTGTAATTAACCTTAAAAATTTCTATAGTAAATAGCTATAGTCGTGAAGTTCTAATAGTGTGCATATTAATATTTATTCTAAAATTAGTAGGTGTGGCAAATCTAAGTAAACAACACACACTTAATAATGTAACTAAAAATCATACCCAGGTCAGAATTACACACACTAGTGAGTTTTTGGTGATGGACATTAAAACAAAATTCAAAATAGATATCTTTGAGAAATGTAGAGTATTAACCATTTTTGACATAGTTTGAAAGGAGGATATATATACAACATATTGGACTCCACTCCACTCGGACTCGAGGCTGTAGTGCGCTCCATTACTAGTGTGTCAGGTGAGAATCAAAACCACCTACTACGGTCAACTTGACTAGAAAACTAACCACAAACCTACCGGAGTCATAAGACTCTCCTAATACGTAGTATGCAACTAGTGAAGCAATATTTGTTTTCTTATATACCTGATTTTTTTAATAAAATTTTATCTAAACATTAAAGCACCCCATTTTCACAACTCATATAAAATAACAAGGTGACAAACTAATTTGTACATCATTTTCAAAATACATACATAGGGCTTAGTTGTAATAAAGGGTTGAAAATATCTACTATATGGTAGAACAATATGTATATGCTTCATTAATTTGTAGATTCTACTTTTTACTTATATTATCTTATTTAATATTTTAAACAAGTAAGGTATATTTTTTTTCTAAATGTACTTGAATTTTACTTATTTTCTTTTGGCACAAACAAAAGCTCTTGAAAGAAGTTTCAAACACTTGTGTTAAATTAAGCGATACTTTCATAAGCTCTTAGCATTAAACAGCCTTCCTTTGTTTGTGTTTCGACATTGTGCTTATTCATAAACATACATATTTTAATTAAGGGATAATCAATTAAAAAAAATTATGACTGAAGTAAGCGATTTTGAAGTTAGTTAGTTAGTCAGTTAGTTAGTTAGTTAGTTAGTTAGTTAGTTAGTTAGTTAGTTAGTTAGTTAGTTAGTTAGTTAGTTAGTTAGTTAGTTAGTTAGTTAGTTAGTTAGTTAGTTAGTTAGTTAGTTAGTAGTTAGTTAGTTTGTTAGTTAGTTGTTATTAGTTAGTTAGTTAGTTTTGTTTAGTAGTTAGTTAGTTTAGTTATTAGTTTATTTTAGTTAGTTAGTTTGTTATTTATTCAGTTAGTTATTATTTAGTTAGTTAGTTATTTAGTTTAAGTTAGTTCTGTTGTTAGTTTAGTTTAGTTTAGTTAGTTTAGTTAGTTCGTCGTTCTTCGTTCGTTCTTTCGTTCGTTCGTTAGTTCTTCGTCGTTATTTAGTTCGTTCGTTCGTTCGTTCGTTCGTTCGTTCGTTATTCGTTCTTAGTTTAGTTAGTTAGTTAGTTAGTTAGTTAGTTAGTTAGTAGTTAGTTAGTTAGTAGTTAGTTAGTAGTTAGTTAGTTAGTTAGTTAGTTAGTTAGTTAGTAGTAGGTAGTTAGTTAGTTAGTTAGTTAGTAGTTAGTTAGTTAGTTAGTTAGTTAGTTAGTTAGTTAGTTAGTTAGTTAGTTAGTTAGTTAGTAGTTAGTTAGTTAGTAGTAGTTAGTTAGTTAGTTAGTTAGTTAGTAGTTAGTTAGTAGTTAGTAGTTAGTTAGTTAGTTAGTTAGTTAGTTAGTTAGTTAGTTAGTTAGTTAGTTAGTTAGTTAGTTAGTAGTTAGTTAGTAGTTAGTTAGTTAGTTAGTTAGTTAGTAGTTAGTTAGTTAGTTAGTTAGTTAGTTAGTTAGTTAGTTAGTTAGTTAGTTAGTAGTTAGTTAGTAGTTAGTAGGTAGTTAGTAGTTAGTTAGTTAGTAGTTAGTTAGTTAGTTAGTAGTTAGTTAGTTAGTTAGTTAGTTAGTTAGTTAGTTAGTAGTTAGTTAGTTAGTAGTTAGTTAGTAGTAGTTAGTTAGTAGTTAGTAGTTAGTTAGTTAGTTAGTTAGTTAGTAGTTAGTTAGTTAGTAGTTAGTAGTAGTTAGTTAGTTAGTTAGTTAGTAGTTAGTAGTTAGTTAGTTAGTTAGTAGTTAGTTAGTGTTAGTTAGTTAGTTAGTAGTAGTTAGTTAGTTAGTTAGTTAGTTAGTTAGTTAGTTAGTTAGTTAGTTAGTTAGTTAGTTAGTTAGTAGTTAGTTAGTTAGTTAGTTAGTTAGTTAGTTAGTTAGTTAGTTAGTTAGTAGTTAGTTAGTAGTTAGTTAGTAGTTAGTAGTAGTTAGTTAGTTAGTTAGTTAGTAGTTAGTTAGTAGTTAGTTAGTTAGTTAGTAGTTAGTAGTTAGTTAGTTAGTAGTTAGTTAGTTAGTAGTTAGTAGTTAGTTAGTAGTTAGTTAGTTAGTTAGTTAGTTAGTAGTAGTTAGTTAGTTAGTTAGTTAGTTAGTTAGTTAGTTAGTTAGTTAGTTAGTTAGTTAGTTAGTTAGTAGTTAGTTAGTTAGTTAGTTAGTTAGTTAGTTAGTTAGTTAGTTAGTAGTTAGTTAGTTAGTTAGTTAGTTAGTTAGTTAGTTAGTTAGTAGTTATTAGTTAGTTACTTAGTTAGTTAGTTCAAAATCTACTTATTCGTATTGAATAAATTTGATAACTGCTGTAATTATACTATACATTGCAAATAAATTAATAATGAAATATTATGTACATAACTTTAATATTAAATTTTAACAAATTTAAAATCTTTTCATACACATTAATTTTTGGCTTATTTCAGTTAAAATTTTTACTACACTTTAAATATATAAATGTATTCAAGGCCATTTATATATATGTAAATGCTAATTTATGATGATAATTTATATAGTAAGATAACAACATTTTTACATTACACACTTTAAGAAAAACCAAGAAATGAATATTAATTATTTAATTTTGTGAGAAACTGAAAGCAAGAAGGATATTTATGAACAAAAACGCATAGATAAACAAACAAATTAGTCATATGTATGTATATGTATTCATGTACATACATATGCATGTGGTGGGTTTTTGATGGTTACAACAAGTGCAAAAGTTAAACATACATATAAACAATAATATAAACCGAAATCTTGATTTAAACAAATTATTTAAAATTGATTTAAAACTTTAATTTTTATACTGCTATAAACACTATTAAAATTTATTCCTCTATTGCTTTTAATAGATCATTCAACTTGTGCCTTTTAATATACAGTTTCCTTCGTTTCTTTTTTCATCATTTTATTCACTTCATTTAGATTTCAAATTCTCTTAAGGAATTCAACATATACATATTTATTTTTCACTGTTTTTTTAATTTTTCTTTTATTATTTATTACTTTAAAGAAATTCGCATCAAATAATACAACAGCAATAATAACAGCAGCAGCAGCAGTAGTAATAATAGCAACAAAAAACACACTATTTAATCGAACTATACAATGAAGCAGAGGTACATATGTATATAAGTATCTGTAGTATTTATGTATGTTTTTCTATATAAACACACATCTATACATACATTTTAAACACACACAAACACTGGCACTCTTTTAAAGTTTACACATATATATATATATATATAAATATGTATGTATAGATTTTTCTTCTTGTTATTGTATTTCTTCTTATATTTTTCTTTCCAAATAGTTGTTGTAGTAGTGGAGAAACGTTTGATATTTATTCGGTTTTGTTTTTATCTTTTTTATTTTTCTTCTTTATTTATTTTACCGTATTAACTTCCGTTCGTAAGAAAGAGTCGCCATAGACTAAGGATATTTCTTCAATTACATACAGTAATATAAATGGCGCTTACGAGTATATTTGTTAGTAAAGGTGTCAGCTGTTTGTGGGACTTTGCCTGGCAGGACCTCAGACAACTGTCAAAATGTGTATTTTTCTTCTCAATTATGTGTACAGAAGAGTAATAGCTTTTAGAAGCTTTTTTCATAAAGTTTGCTATAGGTTTTTGGTTACAATATGAGATTGCTGGTAGTTTTGGCATTAAAATGTAGATGTCAGGTTTAAACTTTAATGCACAGGAAACTATGTTTTGTGTTATGTATAAAATATGTAAATTTCCTGTTTACCTAACAATGGTTGGTAGTGAAAATGGGGAACAAATTACGTTAAAGATAAAAACGAAATAACTATAATACAACTTAAAAAAAATATTTAATAAATAGTTACATATATAAAATTAATAGTATTTATTAAAAATGTGTAAACGTACATATAATTTTTATTTAAATAAATTCACAGCACTCTGTTTCTTGTTTGTGAATTTTGAATACCGCATATTAAATTCCACCATATTGAACGAGTGTTTTTATTTATGATAATAAAATAAATAAACATAACAAATCCTTGAAGAGTCGATGTTAAACAAAAAATGTAAGAAAAGACGGGACTACTCTCCAAATGTGCTAGCATTCCAAAAATCCATGATATACCCAACAGGAAAAACAGCAATATCGATAGATATACTTGTCTTAATATCTGCTTACGAGTACGTTGATTTTTAAACTGAATATTCGATAAAAGTAGATTTAGTATTATATTACCAAATATGCTCACATTTGCAATAATTATTAAGACCATTGGCAGCATAACACCCAAATAGAAACCATATCCTGAAGGATAACAAATAGCTGTATTCTCCGCATTACTTTTTGCATTAGGCATATAGGCATCAGGCTTATAGCGGACTAATAAAACAGTGGGTATTAGCGGCAGACCCCAGGATACAATAAAAAATTTTCTTATAAAATTACTGCCCATTTCACTATTATAAACTTTAACAAAGCGCTGATATTGTAAGACCGCTATAGAAAGCATCCACATGAATAGCACCAAAACAATATATTGCAAAAATGCTCCCGTTATCAGACAGTGCATGTAATTATTAATATCAAATATTACAGCTTTAAAGTCTGGTATATTCAGCAGCAAAAAGAATATCATAATGAGAGTAAGAACAAAGCAAATGTTCAATATTACTTTATTCGTCGAGTGTTCACGCCACTTAGGAAAACAGACAGCTGTCAACCAAATGCAGGCGAGACCAAACAACGATAGGCCACAACCGAGAGCAGAAATCATATCCAATGCACTGTCATTAAAGGTATCCATAATCTCTAAGTTAAGTAAGATAGAAAACGGTGTTAAATGCGATGTATTGCAAAGTAGAAGCTCTTCATTTTGGCTATTAATTACATAGGATGTATTAGTTCCTTTCGTTATCCATGTGGTCTTGTTCCAGTAGCCGCAATCAGGTTTTGCATTTTTCTTATATCTTGTATTGTTGAAAATAAATGGCAAGGCACTGGGTAATTTTTCTGAAATTGAATTCATAAAAAATTATTAAAAGTGTTTAGTGAATGTTTTGATTTTTTTTTTTCTCAAAAAATTTAAGGTTCAATTTTGATCTTGTCCCCATGAAACTTGATGAATTATTTTTAGTATATTTGTCTTACTCACCCTTATAATCAATTAAAGTTATTTCCAAAACACTCTTAATGGGTTTATGCTCCATTACAGTTTGATTTACAAAAAGTACATCATTTTTTAGTAACATAATTTTCAAAATGGTATCATTTTTAGTACCAGTTTTTGTAATAATACTATTCCATAAATCAAATGGAAAATAGGTGGCTACCTCTAGATCCGGTTCTTCTAAAAGTTTATCGAGTGATTGATTTAAGTATATAAAATGATAATAGTTATTTGAATGCTGATCGTATAGACGTTTCAAGGCTGTAGAATTATCGGAATTAAAAATGGCCACACCAGAAATATTGGAGCATAATGGATTTATAAAAAATAAGCTGGCCTTTGACACAGTTGCCATGTAAATACCATCATTAATAGATTTGCATTTATTGGCAGGTACTAATTGTTTTGCCATATTATTCAAATACGAATCCATTATAGAAAAAATCTCGTTAGTACAGTTGGAATCTTTGATGACCTCAGCATCGGTTTGCATTAAAGTATTGGTTAAATTTAAAATATCTGGTACCAGTTCCGGCTTTTCATCTTGAGCTAAAATTACCTCTAAAATATTATGGATAGCGTTTATGTGGGCCGGTGTTCGTTTTTCTTCGTCAGCTTTTAGAAATTTGATTGATTTGGCAATAGCAACTTTTGGGTTTGTTTTATATAATTTAAGATCAGTAACATCTTGATTTAAAGTAAATAAATCTTCTTTGTTTAAAATATTATTTTGTTCCTTTTCAGAATATTCTTTTTCCCAGCAAACTAAGTTTTCTTTTTCCTCATCTGACTTTTTCCATAACTTATTGTGATTGGTTGAATTATATTCACATTTTCGTGTTAACAATCCTGTTTTTAAATAACAAGGTTTTTCCAGACGGCCAACATCCTCTACATCTGCCGACAGCCATTTATTGAGATATTTCTTCAGCACATTATTGTCATTTCTATAAAAGAGTTCCAATGTTTCATCTGCACATTTGTTTACGATTTGTGTACAACTAACATATTTACTACTTTTATTATTATCAATCCATTTAACAGAACCATTTTCTTCGGAGCATGTACGCTCTAGAGGCTTTCCAGTTGTTTCAGAACATATATTGTATTTATTGTGAGCACTTATGTTGTCTGGAAACCATATAATAATGGATGTTAGCTCATCTGTGCCATTGACTAAAATTATATTCTCGATTACTTTTTTGCACTCTTCACCGGCGGCGATACTAACGAGAATTGTGATGATTATAAACAGCAACATTAATAATTGTAATTAAATGAGATCTAGTTAATATAAAAACTTGACAAAGACTGAAACAAATTAAAAAAAAAATAAACATATTTAAAGCAAACCGCATAAAGTTGTTTGCTTTTACTGAAAATAAATATTAATTCTGTGTATTTTAAAAATCCATTTATATAAAACAATTGAGTCAATTTAAACAACGATAGGGAATTTCATTATGCATTCACTTTTGTTAGACCGTACGTTGAGGATTCTAACTAACTAACTAACTAACTAACTAACTACTACTAACTACTAACTAACTAACTACTAACTAACTACTAACTAACTAACTAACTAACTAACTAACTAACTAACTAACTAACTAACTACTAACTAACTAACTAACTAACTAACTAACTAACTACTAACTAACTAACTAACTAACTAACTAACTACTACTAACTAACTAACTAACTAACTAACTAACTAACTAACTAACTAACTAACTAACTAACTAACTAACTACACTAACTAACTAACTAACTAACTAACTAACTAACTAACTACTAACTAACTACTAACTAACTAACTACTAACTAACTAACTAACTAACTAACTACTAACTAACTAACTAACTAACTAACTAACTAACTACTACTAACTACTAACTAACTAACTAACTAACTACTACTAACTAACTAACTAACTAACTAACTAACTACTAACTAACTAACTAACTAACTAACTAACTAACTAACTAACTAACTAACTACTAACTAACTAACTAACTAACTAACTAACTAACTAACGAACTAACTAACTACTAACTAACTAACTAACTAACTAACTAACTAACTAACTAACTAACTAACTAACTAACTAACTAACTAACAAATAACTACTAACTAACTAACTAACTAACTAACTAACTAACTAACTAACTAACTAACTAACTAACTAACTAACTAACTAACTAACTACCTAACTAACTAACTAACTAACTAACTAACTAACTAACTAACTAACTAAACTAACTAACTAACTAACTAACTAACTAACTAACTAACTAACTAACTAACTAACTAACTAACTAACTAACGAACTAACTACTAACTAACTAACTAACTAACTAACTAACTAACTAACTAACTAACTAACTAACTAACTAACTAACAACTAACTACTAACTAACTAACTAACTAACTAACTAACTAACTACTAACTAACTAACTAACTAACTAACTAACTAACTAACTAACTACTAACTAACTAACTAACTAACTAACTAACTAACTAACTAACTAACTAACTAACTACTAACTAACTAACTAACTACTAACTAACTAACTAACTAACTAACTAACTAACTAACTAACTAACTAACTAACTAACTAACTAACTAACTAACTAACTAACTAACTAACTAACTAACTAACTAACTACTACTAACTAACTAACTAACTAACTAACTAACTAACTAACTAACTAACTAACTAACTAACTACTAACTAACTAACTACTAACTAACTACTAACTAACTAACTAACTAACTAACTAACTACTACTAACTAACTAACTACTAACTAACTAACTAACTAACTACTAACTACTAACTAACTAACTAACTAACTAACTAACTAACTAACTAACTACTAACTAACTAACTAACTAACTAACTAACTAACTAACTAACTAACTAACTAACTACTAACTACTACTAACTAACTAACTACTAACTAACTAACTAACTACTACTAACTAACTAACTAACTAACTAACTAACTAACTAACTACTACTAACTAACTAACTACTAACTAACTAACTAACTAACTAACTAACAACTAACTAACTAACTACTAACTAACTAACTACTAACTACTAACTAACTAACTAACTAACTAACTAACTAACTAACTAACTAACTACTAACTAACTAACTAACTAACTAACTAACTAACTAACTAACCTAACTAACTAACTAACAACTAACTACCTAACTAACTATCTAACTAAGTACTAACTACTAACTAACTACTAACTAACTAACTAACTAACTAACTAACTAACAACTAACTAACTAACTAACTACTAACTACTAACTAACTAACTAACTACTAACTAACTAACTAACTAACTAACTAACTAACTAACTACTAACTAACTAGTTAGTTAGTTAGTTAGTTAGTTAGTTTGAAAGGAGGATGTATATACATCAAATCCGAAGAAATACACCTAGGCCTCTATCGGGCCTGTTGTGCGCTCCTTAACCAGTGCCTCAGGTGGGAATCGAACCCACCACCTCCGGTCTACCAGTCTAGAACACTAACCACTAACCTACCGGAGGCCACAACTAACTAACTAACTAAGTAAGTAAGTAAGTAAGTAAGTAACTAACTAACTAACTAACTAACAAATTTATTTTTATATCAAACATCGGTAGCGAAAGTATGTCGTCATTTATATTTTCTTTTAAAAATCTTTTTTTTTAAATAAAGCTTCTAAATAGCGCTCCAATTGAGAAAATAACCAAAATTTATGATCCTATTTTTTGTCACAAATTTTTTTTTTATATGAAAACCATAATATATGTTTGTAGATGATGTAGATAAAATAAAACACTTTAAATCTGAAGTTGCCTTTAACAATCCTCCGAACGAGAAAGTGGAGAGATTTTTCGTTAAACTTTTATCTTTATGTAAAAAACCTAAAATATCATGTAGATTCTTCCAAAGAAGCTATCCAAATAAGAAAATATCAAAAATATCAATAATCACTTAAATGTTCCATAAAAATCTGTTTTTATATAAAAACCATCGGTTGTACCGCTTCAGATGTGACGACACTTGAATATTTCTTTAAAATTATTTTTTTATAAAATTTTCTTAAATATTATCAAAATAACGCTACAATTTAGAATATAGTAAAAAATCAGTTATGATCAGTTAATAAAATTAACTTTTAAAAACATCTGATAATACGAATAATTGTTTTATATAATTACCACGAATCATGTTTTTTTGTGGTTTCAATAAATATTTATTTTTATTATTACAGAATACACACTTTTAATTTATATTTATTAACATATTTTTAATTCATTGCATTTTAAGTTTCTATAGATAGATCGAAATATTAAATAAAAGATACAGATATAAATATAATACAAATATGGGAATTGCTATTACCGAATTATTGTTTCAAATCCCTTCTGTGCTTCTTTTATTCAGTAACACAAATAGAATTTTTCGATCACCACAATCAAATTACATTCGATTGGAAACAAATTCGGTTGGCATAACAAATCTGTTTTCTCTGTGTACCGAATTAGAATTTTCCATTGTATTATAATTTTTAGCACAGCATAACATTGTCCACGACAAACGTGTCGACTTGTCAATGACAATAGAGTACAGAAATAAAACAAATCCCTGCAATGTTGAAGTTAGACAGAAGAGATATGAAAACACGGGACCCCTTTCGAGATGTGTTAAGAAGCCAAAAATCCAGGAAATTCCCAACAAGAAAAATAGCAAAATCGATATACGAACTTGAAGAATCATATTTTTCTTATCGCTCAACCTTTTAAAGAGTCCCATCGAACGCCGAAGACTGATGACAATATAAATAAATATTCCTATATTGACCAATATTATAGCAGCCATTGGTAATATCACGCCATAATACAAACTAAAACCAGAGGGATAGCAAATAGCTGAATTGTTATCCACCTTTTCATTGGGTGGTTTATATGTTTCAGGATCAAAGTAGGCAACCAAAATTGCAGGTATTAACGGTATACCCCAGGCTACTAAAGCATATTTGATAATATAGTTCGGAGATCTTGCATAGCCCAAAACTTTTACATAACGCTGATACTGCATGACAGCTATGATAAGCATCCAAAAGAATAGAACCAAAACAATGTAATGTAAACTGGCACCCATTATCATACAGAAATGTTCGTCTCTCATATTGAGATAGTTTTGTTGTACATCCGGGATATTGAGTATCAAAAAGAATATCATAAGTAAGGTAAGAACAAAACACACATTCATCAATACTTGATTTGATTCCTGGGCACGCCAATTTTTAAACCATATCGCTGTTAGCCATATAAAGGATAGTCCAACCATAGAAAGGCCACAACCCAAAATTGTGATGTAATCTAACATCATATCATGAGAAATACTAAGTAAAGTTAAGTCTGTTGTACTAAGAGAACTCTCCGATGAAACTGCAAACAGTGAAGCAAAATGTGTCAAATGCCTACTTCGGCATATAAGAAGATTGTTAGAAATATTGCTGTAATTCGTTTCAACGCCATCTGTAATCCATTTGTTGTAATTCCAATAACCACAAATGGGAGGCTGCGCTGATGTTGGCCTATATCTTAAAATGAAAGGTATATCTTCTGGAAGTTCACCTAAAAGTAAGAAACAATTAAGAAGATATGTATGTTTAATGCTTTTTTCTAAATTTTCTTAAATTATCTTAAAAGTTACAATAATAACAAAATAATTTTATACATCTTGCTTTAGGTTGAAGCCCATAAAATTTAACCACTGTTTGGTGAAATTTGGATAAAATTTCTTATAGAAAATTAATTAAATTATTCTCATGGATAGTGCAGAATATCACATCTTAACATACATACATATTTATTAAACAAATTAACGAAATATGTATCCTTCGAGTCAGTACTTACCTGTATAGTTCTGTACTGCTATTTCCAAAACATTTCTTCGTGGTTTTTGTAGCATTTTCGTATGATTGACAAAAAGTAAATCGTTTTTGAAAATTATAAAAATCAAAACTGTTCCATCGGTTTCAGTGTTAAGTCTATTCCATAATTTTAAAGGAAAATATGTAGCTAAATAAAGATTAGGCTCTTTCTGAATATCGTCAAGACTTTCATTTAAATACAAAAAGCGATAGCGTTGGCCAGAATGGGCATCGTAATGTAGGTGACTGGAATTCGATTTATAAATTGCTATACCAGAAATATTTGAACACGAAGGATTTATATAGAATACACTTGTGTGATTGAATTTCTTATAAAAAGTACCATTTAAAATATTATGACAATGGTTAGGGGGCACCAAGACCTCAGCCATGTTGTGTAGATACGTGTCAATCGTTTTCAGTAATGTCGAGGTGGCATTTACTTCTTCAGACATTATTACTATTTGCGGTTTTGTGTCCAAAATTACATCAGTAACTTTTAAAACTGATGTTAGAAGTTCAGGATTTCTATTCTCTTCTGTTATAATTTTCAAAATATCACTAGATATTTTAATATCGGCTGGCACGCGTATTGCATTAGATTTTTGCAATATATCCGTCATTTCCTTTACGACTTTATTAGGCTTTACTTTATTATCCTTCTCATCATCTTTAACTTCCTTGTAGAGAGTACTAAGATCATAAGTTATAACATCTTCACGCGTTTCTCGCATACAAGAAATATTTCTCATTTGTGGACTTAGCAGTTCCCACTGTGCTTTCATTTGTTCAGAATTAAAGCTACAAAGACGGGTTATGGGTAAACCAGATCTTAATAAACAAGGTTCTTTTAAATCTGCCAATTCTGATATTTTAGCTGATTTCCATTTATTTTCAAAAGATTTTATAACATTATTTTTCATAACATAATTGTGACGAAAGGGTTCCTCCCTGCACACGGTATCAATTGAGCTGCAATTAAGTAATTTGATATGCCCGTTTATTTCTTCCCATGTTGAAGTATTGCTGGAACGTTCATAGGTACAGTGACGTTGCAACGGTAGACCAGTTTCATTAGAACACACACGCAGTGTACTTTGAGAGCCTGCACTTACGGGAAACCATATTAAAAGAACACTAATTTCACTGTAGCCATCGTGATAAACTGTTTTAAAAAATTGCTTTTCACACTGATGTACTCCAATCGTAGGATATATGAAAAGGAAAATCGCGAGTAGAATTAAATAAAATTTCATTACGAACTATTTTACCGCTCATGTAAATAATGAACTTAATTTCACAAAGTTTTCTGTAATACTACGATATGGACATAAATCTTTAGAAAAACCACAATAAATGATTAATTATTTCTATATAAGAATTAAATTAAATATGATTGTTTACCAAGTTGTTCGATATTAATATAATAAAAATAACAATTTTAATTAATATTAAAAGCTAAACCACAAGACTAACGAAATTTATATATTGAGTCATAAAAAGACAGATTTTTATATTAGATATGTCGAATCTAATATATGTATGTAAGTAATAAATTATACTTGATCATGATATATGTTAAATTTAAAATATTTTTTGAAAATTTTTAGTTGTACGAACCATTCTTCTCGGAACATAATACCACAATTTTTCAATTTATCCTTACTTTAATTATTTTTCCTTATTTTAATTATGTAAAAATATTCAAGTGAAACCATAACACCCGTATGTATATTTTCAGAAAGCAGCAAGAATTATTGCCGATCCTTAGAATTTTTTACAAAGAATTAATTAAGTTCATAAAATACTTGATTATGTCTTATTTAATCACCATATTTTTTTATAATTTTCTGCTAGGATCAACTGTAGACTTTTAGAAATTGACCTTGTATGGGAGAAGCAATAATCATCATCAAATTTGGTAATGAGATTTTTGTCCCAAAAAACTTGTTTATGTTGAATTCCCAGACCCTCTTTTTCTAACAAAACTTTTTTATGACAATTTTGTCATGTCGAATTTCGTGTTATTAAGCCCGTTATGAGTGTTAAAGTAATTTTCTAAAGGACCGATTATCTGATTGTCATAATACTGTTATTATTAAGCCAGTTATGAGTGTTAAAGAAATTTTCTGAGGGGGGCTTATATGGGAAATAGGGTCAATTATAGACCGATATATATATCATATGTAAATGTTGGTAGACCCACTTTTGTTGCTATAAAACGTGTTTATGGTGAATTACTATGCTGGTACATACTATTAAGTGAGTGTTAAAGGGAGGGCCTTATAAAAGGGGCGTTATAGAGGAAGTGATGCCAATTATGTTCCGATGTTCATTATAAATTATATACATATATATATAATAAATAAAATATAATTTTTGTTGTATAAAAGTAATTTGTGCAAAAATTTTTTACGTTTGCCGTATAATTTACTAATTTATGACCCTTTAAACAGTATTTCCATGGGGGTTTGTATAGGGGATAGGCGAAATCATTCTTTATCAATAGAGAATACCTACATATATAAATGTGATCCCTATAGTAATTTCAACAGGCAGACGGACGGACAGGCAGACGGACATAGCGGTTTCGTCTTAGTATGTATATTCTTTTGTGGGATTACAACTAATATTTCGATATGTTACAAACGGAATGAAAAAATCAATATACCCCCATATTGTTGATGGTGGGTATAAAAACACAAATTATGAGTTATGACACTAAATTTACAAATCAGATGGCCTAGTATGAGTAATGATCATAGGTCTGCATCGAGTCTTCAAGAGACTGAACATTAAAGCTTATAGAATTCGTTTATTTAAAATACATTGCAATATTTTATTAAAAAAGTGCTAACTTACTAAATAAATAAGCTGAGTTAGCACTTTTTGAAATATAGTGTCTCAATATTAAAGAAACAATACAAGCCAACGTAATGCATACTTTTAGGATTTAATTAATTATACCCTACATCACTATAGTGGGGAGGGTATTATACGTTTGTGCTGATGTTTGTAACACACACAAATATTGGTCCTACACCCACCTTTAAGTATACCGATCGATCACATTTTGAGTCGATTAGGACATGTCCGTCCGTCCGGCCGGCTGGTTGGCTGTCCATGTAAACCTTGTGCGCAAGATACAGGCCGCAATTTTCAAGATAATTTGATTAAATTTGGACCAAGAATGTTTTTTTGGCAAATGGTTGAAATCGGTCCATTATTTCACCTAGCCCCCATACAACCGTACCTCCCGATTTGGGCTTCTTATGCCATAATTACGTCAAATATACTATTATCTCTCTAAAGATTGACACAAATAAGTTTTATATAAGTATAAATGACAGCCTCATTTAGAAAATTTGTTTTTTATCAATAAATTGCTTAAATACTTTGGAATTAACGTAAAATTCAACATAAAAGTTTCTTTGTGAAAAATAAAAATTTTTAAAATATACTCATGGTGTAGGGTATTATATGGTCGGCCATGCCCGACTATACTTTCCTACTTGTTTTACATATGGAATTGTATAAAATTCTGCATTTTATCTATTAGTAGTAGAATATTTATTGATTCGTTTAATGCTTAAACGTCACTTTTATCTTTATCAGTTGATATTTTTGCATTTAAAACAAACAATTTATTTATTTAGACGCTTGATAAAAACATATTTATTTGTTTAACTAAGTTGAATAGACATTGTCTACACTAATCATAATTAATATATTATTAATTAAACTTTTAATACAAAAAAAAAAGTAATATTTTCAATCGATAAATCAATTTTTGTCCAAAAAATACACTTCTTAAACCTTTGTACTTATGTAGTCTTCGAAACCCATCAGGGAGTGTTGTTTTATTTAAAATTTTAATGAAAAATTTCATGAAATGAAAATGAAATAGATAATTTTTATTAAAAGTTTATTTTCTTCAAAATTCGAATGTATGTATATTTGTTTATTTTCCTTTTTTTACAGTTAAATTTAATTTTTAACACTAAAATAAATACATAAATAATAATATTAATATACATAAAGAAACCATGTAAACGTAATACTAAATTAATGAATGAATCCCGTACAAAAAAGTTTTTGAACGGATAAAAATACTAAATGAAAATTATAGAAAAGCATCTATCTAAGTCTAATGATCTCTGGAAGAACTCATGTCATGTGTAAGTGATGTTGTTGCAGTTGTCATCGATTGCAGTTCAGCAGTTTTTTTCTCGCGTGATTTCTTCACACATGTGGGACACAACAATTTCTGCCACGAGGTACGTGCATTCTCATCTATAATCACAAAATATATAAACAAGACAAAGCCCTGCATGGTGGCTGTTAAACAAAATAGATACGAAAACACTATTCCTGCTTTCATAAAGGCAAATATACCAAATATCCAGGAGAGTCCTAGTAGGAAGAACAATAAAATAGAAAGACGTATCTGTTTGATGACCATTTGTTTTTCATTACGTTGCATTGACATGCTGAGCGTATGAGAAATGCTGTAGAAAACATAAAGGAATATGGCTAAATTGGCCAATACAATCAGAGAGACTGGTAATATTACACCAAAATGTAGACCATTGCCTGAAGGATAGCAAATACCGGTATCGGTGGCCAGCTGATAATTGCTAGGTATATATGACTTGGAATCCAATAAAGCCACCAATAGAGTAGGTACTAAGGGTAAACCCCAAGCTATTATAGCCGATTTTATAATATAATGCTTAGGTCGCTGTATGCCAATCACCGTAACATAACGTTGAAATTGCAAAAATGCTACAATTAACATCCAAGTGAATAGCACTAATATCGAATACTGCAGCAGAGCACCCAATACTATACATTTAGTATAACTATGTTTTTCCACTAAAGCCTCAGCCACATCATCGGTATTAACAAATAAAAACAATACCATTTGCAGGGTAAGAGCCACACACATATTGAGTAATACTTTATTGGAGGCCTGCGAACGCCAACTTTTAAATAACAAAGCTGTAATCCAAATTCCCACCAAGCCCAACAGTGATAAGGTACAGCCTATAATTGAAATAATATCTAAAGCCTCCTGATGTACCGCTGTTACTAGAATTTCATCTGTGAGATCATTTTGTCGAAAACCACCACCCAATAAATAAGAAAATTGGGTTAAATGATTGGTGGAACATAGTATTAAATTACTCGATGCTGTAGTATATTGCGAAGAGTTAGTATATACACCATTGCTAGTCCAGGTACTATAATTCCAATAACCACAGCCGGTATTTAGGGATGATTTCATATTATTCGTTAGACTTTTATGACGTAAAATAAATGGTAATGGTCCGGGAAGTTCATCTGGAAAAAGTAAAAAGAAATATACAAGTTTAATGATTAATATTAAAACAAAAATAAGTATGAAATTATAGTCGGACGAGGCCCACCATATAATACCCTACACCAGTTATAAAAATAAAATGTGATTTAGTTTTCATAATAAAGCATTTAAGTGGAACTTTACCTTGCTTCAGATATACTTAAGACATTAATTGTTGATTAAAATTTTAAGACATTTAAATCAAAGTTTGAAGGGGGTTTTGTATAGGGGCTACAGTCAAATGAGGCCCTATAATTATAAAATTCATGGGGCTAGTATAAAACTTGGTTTTCAGCTTTTTGTCGAGATACGATTGTACAAAACATAATTATGAACTTAAAAGGCCTATTAGGCGGGTTCAGTTGTATGGAGGCTAGGTGAAATAATGGACCGATGTTAATCATTTAAACAGTCTTCGTCTCTGGTACAATAGAAGATCATCTGACAAATTTCATCTTCAAAATTGCGACCTGTAGTTTGTTTACAAGGTTTCCAAGCCCTATTCGGGGGTTCAGTTGTATGGAGGCTTGGTGAAATAATAGACAGATCTTAACCATTGTCAATAGGCTTTGTCCCTGGGACAATAGAAGCTTATGTACCAAATTTTATTGAATTGTCTTAAAAATTGCGTCCTGTAGTTTGATTACAAGGTCGCACGGACATAGCTAAATCGACTCAGAAAATGGCGTTTGGTATACTTTAAGGTGGGTATAGGACCGATATTATTGTGTGTTACAAACATCAGCACAAACCCAATATACCCTCCCCACTAAAGTGGTATAGGGTATAATAAAAAGTAGAATAGTGTCTCAAACACATCAACAGTAAAATATCCGCAAAAGTTATTCCAAATAACATGACATATTAAGTTGGTAATGGAGCACTGAATAAGCGGATAGACTAATAAATTCTTAAGTTGGGTAAACGTATTTGTAACCATTTTTGGAATAAAAATAATAAGTAAGTACACTTTGCTCCATTATTACTAGTTCGCTTACAGGGTTAGTAAAGTTTTTGCTGTGTTATTATACGTAATAAAAACAAGTAAGAGTTTTATATTCGCCTTTGCCGAGTATTTTATACCCTTCACCATAGTGTGTTTAAAAAAATCTCTATGATATCTGGAGTCTTCAGAAAATTGTTTTCAACAGAAAAACAGACGGACAGACAGACAGGCAGGTAGACAGACAGACATACAGACGGAAGGACAAAAAGACAGACGAACATGGCTTAATCGAGTCCGCTATCTATAAGGATCCTGAATAGATATACTTTATAGGGTCGGAAAATTATATTGTGGAATTAAAAAGTTATATTTTTCTGAAAATGGTCTTAAGAAACTGTGTTTTACAAATACTGAGAGAAAAAACTTTTATATTTCTGTTAAAAAAACTAAATCTTGTTATAATGAATTTAAAAATATTTTTCAAAAATTATACGCTAGAGAAATCCATAACATTTTCAATAAACTTACCTGTAAAACCGGGTATAGATATGGATAAAATTTTACTAAAAGGTTTTCGTGAACGTAATAAATTCTGTTCGACAAACAAACCATCATGAGCATAAATTTTAAAAACCACAACACGTGTATTTGATAATGATGAATAAAACTTCTGCTGCAAAGTATACCACATGTCCATAGGAATAAATGAAGCCAATTCTAAATTGGTTTCTTGCAGTAGGTCATTAATTGATTCATTCATAAAAATAAATCGATAATGAAAATCATTAAGTGAATCATAATATATTTGATTCTGCAACTGTGGTTGTTCAAACTGATTATTTAATTGATAAGAGTCATATATGGCAATACCCGATATATGCGCACAATTGGGATTCACAAAAAATACACTAATATTACGTGTAATATGACCATAAACACCCATATTTGATAAATTTAAAATTTCAACGGATGTGTCATTGTTGTTAGTTATAGGCAGGCTATCGGCTGGTAATGTTATTTGACATTGACTATCAGATACAAGTCTTTCGGTTAAAGCATCCATATAATTCTCAAATGTTTCTAGAAGACAATTGGTAGCATTTACTTCGGCCGACATTCTTAAAACTACCGGATCAGTAGCCATAAGATTATGAGTTATTTTCAAAATATCTCTAGATATTTCTAGATCTTGGTTATCAGTTACAATATTTTTTAATATTTCTGAGGTCAATTGTACATCTGCAGGCAGCAGTTTGACTTTAGGTTTTTCCAACAGATTTAGTAGGATTGTGGCAGTGTGGCGACGTGTATTCATATCTCGTACTAAAAAATTTGATGTAGTCATATTTCCATGCAAACTATTTAGTTCTTCGGTTATGAGCTCTTGTCGTGTATGCTGCAAACATTTAAAATCGTTTAAATGTTCTATAGAAGTCCATTTAGCTCTTTGCAGTTTATAGTCATAAATACATTTTCGTGTTAAATGAAGACCATTTGGCTGTAGACATAAATCACGTAGTGTGGAATATTCTCCTATTTTAGCTCGTTTCCAAGAATTTTGATGTAACGTCAGTTCACCATTATTTTCTATAATATAATGTTGAAAGGACTCGGCTTGACAAAACATACTGATGCGACAATCAATTAACACTGTCTTATTATCATAATTTTGCCATTTGGGACCAACCAAATCAGGGTAACAACGACGTCGTAATGGTAAACCATTTTTAACTGAACAGATATTTGGTAAGACGGCCCTTTCACCAGCTTTCGTACGATTCCAAGTGACCCATATCATTTGGGTCTTATTGTCATGACTTATAAATTTATGCAAATATTCCTCATCTTTACAATAATTTAATAGATATCTCTCCAATTCATCACTGTTTTCATGCGATATATTATTAAAATGTATTTCTTCTCTTTCGTTGTTTTCACTATTAGAACTTTTAGCTAATTTTAATTTTGTGTGATTTGTTTGCTGTAGTATAGTGCAATTTATTTTACTTAGTATTAAGTATAGTATTGCTAGAAATTGCAACAAATTCATGTTTTTATTTATTCTGTATCGACACTTTCGTTGTATTTTATTTTAAATTTAAATACACATTTTCCGCGTATTATTTATTTTGTGGTATTTTCGTCTTCAACGTGACACGTTTATTCTCAAAAAATTACTAATTTGATTTTTCGAAAAAATACCTGCAAGTGGTGGCTACGAAAAAATTTTTAGTTGCTCTCTTTGAGCAGTATGTGAAAGAATAAAATCTTGAATTTTAATAGAACTTAATATTTTAACGAAGGTGTTGCGCCATACCGTATTTATCAGAACTTCTTTAGATAAATTCAAAAAATGGGCAAATTTGTAATGAAGTTTTAACACAATTTAGCCAAAGACATGATACATCAAAATACAAATCTGTTCTCCGCCCTAAATTTTATTATTTCTGCTTAAAAAAATGCACTACCTCAAATATATACATTTTTAATACGTAAATATTTATGTGATTTATTTATTTATTTTAAAAATAACTGCATTTCGAAATTTATTTTGCTAAAAATAGCATTTTCACTTTTATTAGTCTTTCTCTCAAAAAAAAATTACATTTATTTGTATTCTGCAGTAAAAGCTTTATTGTTTATAATTAATTTTTTGGTGTTCGTCATAATGAAAACTGTTTCATTTGATCAAATAACGCACGAAATATAAAACTTTTATACACACCCAGCAAAAGCTTTCATTATGATGGGTTTAAAAATGGAGTCAACTACTTACCACAAACGCTTACAAGCTATTTAAAAAAGTGGTAATAGTAAATCGAATGAAAAAACGTATACAGTTTCTAAAGCTTCAAAGTCAAGATAGGTAATGAATTAGAAAGTACTTATATAACACATTATTAGTAAGACCTTATAAGTAATCCAGACGATATGTTGTAGTCTTTGAAAAGTATCTTGTTAGCTAAGTAATTACAATTGAAAGTCATTATCTAGTTTTTGCTGGGCAGTTTATTTTAATTGTTTAAGCAAATTTTTCACATAACACAACCAATGCACAGTGGTCGAAATTAATGATATGGCTTTATTAAATTCACATTTTCAAACTTTGAAATCGGTAAAAGTTTTTTTTATCTTACGTATTACCTACATTCCATTTTAATATATAGTTTGTTGTATGAAGTAAATTTAAAGAATTTGGTGAAAATTTATTCCAGCGCATTTTTCCAATTTAAATACATACATGTTTTTGTTTGAACTAAAATTTTTCTTTAAGTGTCTAAGTTAATCTACTTCAACGAAAAATTAATATTGGTAGCAGTGTTGCAGGTTAGCCTTTTTAAGGCTCAATTTAGCCTTTTTATTTATCATTTAGCCTCAAAATGTATATTTTAGCTTCTGGTTTTTTCTACACTTTTTCCGCTTTCTTATTTAGCCTTAAAAGGGCTAAAATTTCAGGAACATTTAGAAAAATTTTCCGATTCAAAAAGTTGTTTTAATAAAATTATTGTTTTTAAGGAGAATATTTTGTTTATAGCTATAGTAGATATTATGAAATTAATTTATTTTACTACTTTTAACTGATTTCCTTCTACTCTAAGTGATCGGATGAGCTACAGTTATAGACAAATTAATTTTAGATTCTTTTTGTATAAAGGGCTAGGGTCAAATGACGTCCGAGTATTATCATCAATGCTTATAGAAAGCTATAAAACTTTGTTCTGACTTCTTTCGATATAAAGGTATACATATTAACCAAAAGCACTATTCGTGGTGTTCAGTTGTATGGGGCCAAGGTGGACCGATTTAAACCGTTATACAGGCTTCGTCTAAAAAAAATTGTCTTGAAAGCTTAACATGGACAGAAAAATATTGTAAGGAGATGTATACTTTAAGATCAGTAAATGACAAATATTTTTTACCGTCTCCACTAAAATGGTTTAGAGTATAAATAGAGTAGCATTTTATTAAATTCGTGAAGACACCCAGCTAGTAAGCCAGGCTATGGACTAAGTCGACTCAGAAAATGGTTGGAAATGCCCGACTTTAATTTTTCATATTTAAAAGGTATACAAGTTTAGCCTTTTTCTAGCCTTATTTTTAAAATCCTTTTAGCATTTTCTGGCCTTTTCGAACATTTAGATTTAGCCTTTTATTTCTGAAGCTCCTGGCAACACTGATAGGTAGTACCCTCTATTAAAGAGCATTTGAAAGCCCCCATCCCAGCAAAAAAATAACTTCCAAAGAAGTAGAATTTACTCCATGAAAGTTCAAAAAAAGACCTGAAAAAGCGATGATTTAAACACAGGCTTGTCATACGAGGGATGTCTTTTTGATTTGATTCCAAATTCAGTACTTCTGATGTCATTCTCAAGAATTCATTTTTATGTTCATCTGTATGTTCTTTTTTTTGGAAGTTAGTTGAAAGTGAAATTGTAGTATTATAGAATAGGACTAATTTGAATTGAATTATATTAACATCAATAAGGAGTTCAGAAGTCATTAAAGAAGTTGAAGTGGTTATAAATGTTATGCTCTTGGAAGTGCTTCGTTTTTTTTTTTGCTGGGACATTAATTTTTCGTGAAATGCAACAATTTTTACTTTATTCGAAAACTTGATTTGTGTTAATTATTTTAATAACAACATGTTATGGTAAAAATAATAATTAGAATCCTAGCGGCTTTATTTTCACATGACTCATCATATTTCCAAGTGAAACGCCTTACCCATTATATAATCCGCCCATTTTCAGTTCTATTACAGAAGATGTAGTCAAAAAGTTAACTGTTAAAAATTTAGAAATATTCAATAATAACTATTTATATTTGTAAAAAGTGCCACGCCCACTGTTTCAATCTGCACATTTTTATATAAATTATGTGAAATAGAAATAAAATTAGTCGTCTACAATTTTGGTACACGATTTATTCTTGATATTAATTAAAATTATTGATTTTAATAGATGGCACGCCCACTACTTATATCCCGCCCATTTGTATTTTATTTTGTTGATTGTTATTAATGTTGATTGCTGAAGGAAAATTTTACTAAAAGAAATCATTTAACATATCGCTCATTTACTACAAGTCTGGCATAATGCAAAAAAATACGTTTCGAGTAAATTGGCTTTGAATGTTTAATGACAATAATGAATTCAAAATTAGACCAGATTCAGATAGTAGAGGTTAATAAGTATGTTTCTCATTACAATTAGAACTTAATTTTATTTATCTAACACTCGTCAAAACATGAGTTTTAGTTTTGACATATTTGAAAATTAAAAAAAATCTACATGAAATACTTTAGTATGAGGCCTGTTTTGTAGTCCTCAGTCCGAAAACTCCAATTTTGAATTATGCCACACTTGAAGTAAATGAGCGATATATAATATAACTTAAAACAATTAAAGAAGTCAGTCTTTTAACTAACTGTTTAAGTACTTATCTTTAAAATATCGATAAGTGTACGGCAATGTATACGATAAAATATTTGTGATTATTAAATATTTTTTTCAATACAAAAACAATAAATAAAAGTAAAAAAAACTTTTTGATATTTGTTGCTCATTTGTAACACATTTGTTTATTCGTTCGCTCGTTTATTTGTTTCTAATCGCATACAAATCTTAAAAATAAACAAACTAAACAAATCATAAATTGTTTTAACGATTAAATATTATAAATATTTAGTGTTAGTATGTAAAAATTTATTCTCTGATACATTCACACTATACATATATTTAAAATTGAATTGTGCTTAAAAACCAAATTATGAATCATTAGCAAATTGTTACACCTTTATGTATAAGAATTTTATATTTATGTGGTTTTTTCTTGTTAATAGTTTATTGACCATATCTTATCAGCTGCGTCAACTAAAATAAAAACAAACAACAATAATAAGTTAATGCTCAAAAGCAAAATTCCATTTAGTGGGAATTATAATTTTAAATGTTAAAAAAAACAAAAGAGCAGAGTCATGATAAAGTTTAAAAATATATACATACATATGTATGTATACATATATATGTATGTATGTATGTACTATGTATTAAAAATATGCATACCAATACTTTATTGCAAAGTTTAACAATGATTAAATTGAAATAAATTCTAAATTTAAATCTTATTTTTTTACATTTTTGTTAGGGAGTGTTAAATTCCATTATTATAATTTTTAATTTTTTTTAATTAACTAATTTTTTTTAATACAAATCATTAAATTAATTAATCATATAATAAAACTCCAGTCAGTACTTTTAACAAGTTGTTTAATCAAACAAAAAATCTGTTGAATGAATGCAATTAATACAAAACTAATGGTATATATGAACTACCGGGTACAACATCCACACCCGTTGGCAAGAAATTTATAGCATAATTTTTATCTACTGGTTTATTATCACTTGCCACAGAACGTGTCTGTTTGAGGGCGGCTTTATCGCTACTTCTGCCTCCATATTTTTGTATAATTGTCGATTGTATTTGTTGAGCTTCCGCCGGATTGCGATATTTTATAAAGTGTACTTCGGGTTTATGATGTACTGTCTTCTGTAAAGTTTGGAACTTTTTCTGTAGTCCAGCATAATTGGGCTCTTTGTTAAGTACATAAATATGGGTTTTTGGTTGTACTGCGTTTTGTATTAGATTTTCTAAAGCCTTTTCGTAGTTATTATTTTCAGGATTTTTAATAAATATAACTTGTTGACGTGCCTTTATTAATGGTATAAGTTTTCTTAAGGCTTCATTTTGATCAATTTTGTCCTCTGGAGCACTAAAGAAATAGTATTGTATATCATATGCTGGGTTAATTTGTTGTGTATGTAGTGTTCCCAGACCACGAGTACTTTCGAAAAGATATTGATTTGACGACCAACCGGTTTGTATTAGTATCAAAAACTGCAAATATTATTAAAAAATGAAATATTGTTAGTAATTATGTTTTTTTTCATGTGTTTTGTGTAATCATTCTGCAAATATTTATGTTTAACAGAATAATAAATAATTAAAACATTTCATTATAATGATTTAATAAAAGAAACGGTCGTATGTAGAAGATATGTATCTGATATGAAAACATTTGTCTAGTCATTCAATTGTCGGGAAGTACTATAAATGGCTTCCATCATATAATAAACTTGTTAATTTTTTGGACAGCAAAATGAGAGACAATTTGAATATTTTTTCTCATTAAACGATTTAATTGCAAATACTGCGATTTTTTAATTATACCCTACACCACTATAGTGGGGAGGGTATTATGCGTTTGTGCTGATGTTTGTAATACCCAAAAATATTGGTCCTCCACCACCTTAAAGTATACCAATCGGCTCAGAATCACTTTCTGAGCTATATCCGTCTGTCTGTCCGTCAGTCTGTGTGTCTGTCTGTCCGTGTGTTCATGTAAACCTTGTGCGCACGCTGCATGTCGCAATTTTCAATATAATTTGAAGAAATTTGCCACATAGTCTTCTTTTGACCCAAGGACAAAGTCTGTTGAAAATGGTTGAAATAGATCCATTATTTCGCCAAGCTCTCATATAACCGTATCTCTCGAATAAGGCTTTTGAACTTATATTATAATGTTAAATATTGTGCAATCTCTACAAAAATCGGCAAATCTTAGTTTTATGTAGGTTTAAATGATACTGCCAATTTCCGTAATGATAGGGTCTCATTTGACCCTAGCCCCCATACAAAGTCCCCTTCAAAAAATGACTTAAAGGTGGAAATGACTTAAAAATGGAAATTTAAACAAGTAAAAAAGTATAGTCGGGCGTGGCCGACCATATGATACCCAACACCAGTTATGAATATTAAATGTGATTTATTTTTCATAATGAAGTATTTACCTTCAATATAACCTTGTTTCCGGTATATTTAAGTAATTTATGGACGAAAAACTAATTTTCTGAAAAAGGGTTTATATGGGGGCTTGGGCCAAATATAGACCGATTTCGATAAAATTTCGCGAATAGATTTATATTTATATAATATTTATTTGTGCTGAATTTCCTCGCGATATTTGTGTTTATATGCGAATTTTGGACATTTAAGTCATTTTCTGAAGGGGACTTCGTATGGGAGCTAGGGTCAAATGAAGCCCGATCTTTATAAAATTTCGCAAGGTCATCAAAGTTTATGTAAAACTTATTTAAGGTGCTTTCCATCGAGATATAGGTATATTTAACATAATTATGATCTCAAAGGCCCTTTTCGGGGTGTTCTGTTGTATGAAGGCTAGGTGAAATAATGGATAGATTTTAACCATTTTCAATAGGCCAAAAGAAGTGCGTGTACAAGGTTTACATGGACAACCAGCCAGCCTAACTCGATTGGTATACTTTAAGGTGGGTATAGCACGAATATTTTTATGTGTTACAAACATCATCACAAACCCAATATACCCTCTCCACTAATATGGTGTAGGGTATAAGAACGACTATCACGTTGATATTCTGCATAAACAACTTTAATGTCATCATAAGTCACTCTACCAAAATGAATACGGATAGGAACATATTTACCTTTGCCCCCATATAACCCTTCTTTCAGAAAATCATTTTTTTGGTAACAATTTGTTAAAAAACATTCTTTATTATTAGAAAAATAATCCATATTTTTAACATACTCACTGGGATCATATTGTCGGTCATGCCCGACTATACATTCTTACTTGTTTTATTTATAATAAAATTTTAAAAATATTTAATATTTTTTTTTAACAATTTATCTTTTATTTGTATGAAATTTTTTTTAAATTTGTTTATAGAAAGCAAAATATTTTTTTAAATAAAATTTAAAAATTTTTTATTAGAAAAAAAATTTATGTATTTTGTTATTATTAAACAAGTTTAATTTCTTCAAACAAAAAAAAAAAAAAACACTTTGGAATCGCATAGAAATTTCTGAGAACATTTTTTTTATATCTGATTGATATATATTTTTTTTTAAAATTTTGGAAACAATGTATATATTTTCTTATGAAAATATTTAAATGTAAAAAAAACAAACCACTTACACAACATAAAAATCTCAACATCATTTTGAAGTATTTTAAATCAATTGAAATAACAGCACTTGAAATTACTTCCTCCTTATTACAAAAAAAAACGTATTTTACACTATACAATCAATACAACATCAAACACACTTAATTACTCACTCAATTACTGGCTTAAAGCCGTTTACTTTTGACAAAAAGAAACACACACACAAACTCTTGTTAACTTAACTTAAATTGATTTTAATTGAATAAATTACAGCAGCCAGCTCAAGCACTTAATGAATGCTCTTATATGGACAGATGAATATCAATTTATTTCTTTTGTTTTCTTCTATTCCATTTTATTCTCATTCTATTCTTTAACCGTCTACTCAAAATTCTAAAGCTTACGAAAAAATGTTTTCAAGTTCAGGGCTAAACTCTCTTACTCTTAAAACATGTTCGTCATGTTGAATAAGTCAATAAATATAATCTGTTTTATGCTAATGGGTCATAGCGAGAAGTAACACTGATACAAAATATTAATGTATGACTAGTTTTTTTTTCTGTCAAATAAAATATTTGATACACAATAAACTGGTTCTTGTTAGACATTTGGTTGCCATAAAATAGATAAAATTTCTTTTTTCTCGCTGCTTTTGAAGCTAATTTGTAGTATGGAAATATTTTGGGATTCCCTAATTTATGCGAGTAATAGAGTTTTTTTACTAAACAACATTTTTTCCTGCTAGTCTAAAAATAATACTAAATGATTTTCTAATTGGTAACACAGATTTTTAGTTAATTATTTGTGCAGGAAATATCTGGCATATAACTAAATAGGTATATTTTTCAAATATTTAATTTAGAAATTAATTATACTTACGTTAATTTTATTAAATAACATACATAAGTATAATTAAATCAGTAAATAACACAGGTCAACGATGAAAAAACTTTTTATTGTGAGAAAACACTTAAATGCGAAATATTTCAAAAAAAATTAATGCATTAACTGTAAGTTTATAAACCGTTTTTTGGAGTATAAGTAGTCATAAATGGAAAACTCTTCAGACGGCAGTTTCAAAACTTCCCCAGCAAAAACATGCCAATGGCTTGTACTTACTCAACAACTTACTTTTCAATGACTACTATATACCGTCTGCATTACTTAGAAGGGGTCTTGTAATGACTTACAAATAATATAATATGTAAAAACTTACTTTTCAACCTTTCTATACTGTTTTCGAACTTTGTTTTTAACACAAAAGAAAAATTATTTTTGGTGAAAACTATTAATAGACCCAGTGGACGTATCCTTGTAGGCAATATTTTATACCCTACACCACTATAGTGGGGAGGGTATTATGCATTTGTGTTGATGTTTGAAACACCCAAAAATGGTCCTACACCCGTCATAAAGTATACCAATCGGAATCACTTTCCAAGTCGATTTAGCTATGTCCGCCTGTGTGTCTATGTGTCTATATAAACCTTGTGCGGACTCTACAGGTCGCAATTTTTAAGATAATTTGATGAAATTTGGAACATACATACTCATACTAAGGAAAAAATTTAAAAAAATGGTAAAAATCGGTCCATTATTTCGTATAGGATTTTGAGCTCAAAAAATGTGTCAAATATTCTTATATTACTTTAAAAATCGCAAAAATTAGTTTTATATAAGTCTTAATAATACAGCTGATTTTCGTAATGATTGGGCCTCATTTGACCCTATCCCTAATACAAAGTCTCCTTCAGAAAATGATTCGATGGTCAAAATTCACACTAATATCACGATGATATTCTGCATAAATAACAGATGTAGACGTAAATACCTCTACCAAAATGTATAAGGATAGGACCATATTAACCCCCCGCCTCTATATAACTCCTCTTTCAGAAAATCCTTTTTTGTCTACAAATTATTAAAATATTTCTGAATTAAGAATTAAAAAATAATAAAAATTTGTAACATATCTTGTTTTATATACTTGTTTTTATTATTTACAGGCAATCGCAGTAAGTACTTACCTAACTCCCTATTTGTAATCGAGCATGGTAAGTACTTGCCTTCAGGTCATCACCGTGTTAAAATACTGACTTAAAATGTTATTGTGTATTTTAATCCCTTACTTTTCGGTGTAAGATATTCTTGAGCTTAATTTTAAAAATTTTGTTAAAAAAAAAATTTCAGATTTTAAAAATTAAATGAAAAATAATTAATATCTTTAATATCATGCAAAGATTTGTGGTATTTTGCGAATTTAGGAGAAAACTATTTTTTCAATATATTTTTGAAAATTATCTTTAATGCTTTACTGTTAGGAAACGATCCACATAATCCACGATAATTATTTCGAATTTATCCGCTATGCTGCTATTATTAACCCAGTTATGAGCGTTAAAGTAATTTTATTAGGGGGACCTTCTATGGGAGGTAGGATCAATTATGGTCTGATGTCCACCATTCATGACAATATAACTTTTGTTTGTATAAGAAATTGTATCACGATTGCTGTATAATTAATTAATTTATGACCTTTTAAACAGTATTTCGAGGCTATTCGAAATTGTGAGACGATGTTTGTACTGTCAAACAAACCTTATCAATAGAGAATGTGTATACAAAATTTCAACTGCTTAGCTCCCCCGTGTTGTCCCTAGCTTGATCACAACAGGCAAACGGACATGTATAGATCATCTTGGAATTTAATAAAGACCTGAAAATATATATATTTTTGTGGGTTTACAGCCAATGTTTCGATTTCTTACAAATGGTATAATAAATAAGATTTCTCCTAGTCTTAAAAATTTTAACGAATTGTGCTAAAAATTATTTTAAATACAAAGTTTTCAGTGGTAGACAAACGGGTCTTATTAAACTGACTTCTAAAAGCGATTCATAGCAAATTATGGATTTATCAATTAAAATTTTTGGATAAAATTAATAATACTAATAATGTTATTATTTATAATTTATAACAAGCTGAATAAATAAATTCATTATAAATGCCAATATTAAAAAAATATTGGCATAAACTTACAATAGATTATTCTTAAGATTAATCTCATTAAATTAAAAAAAAAATCCATTGTTACGCTGACATTTCAAAACAAAATACATATAGAGAGATCAAATCGGTTTATAAAAATCAATCAGCATTCACAAAAATAAAAAAACAGAAACCAGTCTATCTATGGAATTAGAATTCTGAAACAATATATGTATGTTATTAAGTAGTTTTGTTTAAAATTTAACACAGTTGTTCACTTTATGACTGATATTTATAATGATAACAAAACAGCAATAATCTTAAACAGTTCCTTTTTTAAAAGCTCAAAAATTTAGAATGTAGAGTATTTTAAATTTTAATATAGACATTTACGTCATTTTATTCCTATTTAAATAACTTTCAAACATAAAATGGGATTTACAAAAATAATGAGCATTTCAGTTACTATACTAGTCATAAACTAAATGATCGAAATTGCTTTTTTATTATTCCCACAGATTTATGCATAGTTGGCTAAGGACAAATTGATTGTAGTCTAAGGAGAACTAGTCGTATTGCATTATATATATTTTTTTATAATTTAAATAACTTTCAGTTAACACAAGACAATTTATTTATATGCGACATCTAGCGTTGTTAAAAGCTATATTTTTATTAACAAAAAGCTTTTACATTTGCTATAACCAAAAGCTACAGAAAATGTTAATAACAGAGGAATAAACAAAATGTGGGCATTTGAAAAAAGCTCAAAAAATAAATATTCATAAACAGGGCTGCCAGATATTTTTTGAAAAAATCTGTTGTGTACATGTTATTAAAAATGTATTAAATATTATTTATACCGTTTATTTGAAATATTTAAATAAGACTTTTACTCTTTAGCTACAAAATTAGTGATCCAATTTACATCAAATTTTACACACTGATAATGATGGTTGTATCAGATCTTCTATAACTTTGTTCTATTTCTACACCCAAAATACTAACCGATTTACATGAAATTCGGAACACTGATATGTCTAAAATATGATTGACTATAAGTGTCCCATTTTGGAGGTAAAATTTAAAAATATTTATTTTTATACCCACCATCAAAATATTGGTCGTAGACCCACAAAATTATATATATTCTAGGTCCTTATTTAAAACGATCAAGTCATGCCCGTCCGTCTGTCTGTTCACGATAGAGACCAGACGGGGGAGAATTTTGCACAATTTTTTCTTGTATTAAGGTTTGATTGCTATTAAAAATTAGCAATATCGGTCCATGATTTCGCCTAGCACCGATACATGCCCTTCGAAATGTTTAAAGGTCATTAAATTAGTTAATTATAGAGAAATCGTGATAAAATTTGGAATAATTTTTTTTTATACCAAAATTTATATTGTAATGTATAGTGGATATCGGACCATAATCTAACCCAACCCATATATATATAAGGCCCTCCTAAGAATATTACTTCAAAGCTGACATAACTGACTTAATAATAGCAGTGTAGCGACGAAATTTAACATAAAATATACGAAAAAACATCTTTACTAAATATTATGAGGATCGGTCCATAATTCCCTTCACAAAATGGCTTTAACGCTCATAACTTAACTAAATATTCTCGTTATGAAATTAGACAAAAACAAGTTCTATGGGAAGCAAAATCGCTCTAGTAAATATTTTCGGTACATAGTTGACATTATCCACTACATAAGCTCCTTATTTTAACCAAAAGCACCTCAACTTAAATCTTTTAAAAAACAAAATATATTCCTATTTATAATTATGGATATAGCCACTTTTATGTTATCCATGCATTAGTTAATCTTTAAATTTAAGTAGATCAGTTGAACACTATTATGTCAAAAACAGCGTTTTAGAAAATGTGGTCTTTACACCTTTATTCTATCCATGCTGCAATTCTTTAACTATTTTTATACCCTACACCACTTTTGTAGGGAGGGGATATTGGATTTGTGCTGATGTTTGTAACGCATTAAAATCATTTTCTAAGTAGATTAAGTCATGTCCGTCTGTCTGTCCGTTTGCCCATATAAACCTTGTAATCTAACTACAGATCGCTATCTTAAAGACAATTCGATGAAATTTGATACACGTATTACTAGGTTCGTTCTGATTATAGATTTTGGTTGATATCAGTCCATTATTTCAACTAGCCCCCATACAACCGGACCCCTTAAATTGAGCTTTGGAGCTTTGTATTTCGATGAAATTCGGCATTAGTTACTAAATTGTATGTCAACAACAATCCCTCTAGCAAATTTTGTTATGATCGATTTATATTTGACCCTTTGACCCCATGTATAGCATCTTTGAGAATATCAGAATTTAATCAAAAATATATCGAATTTAAGGCAAAATCCAACATAAATGCTTATTTATTAAAAATAATACTCATTTAAAATTTTCTAATAGCTGCTATAGGGTATCATATAGGCCATGTCCGACTATATTTTCTTACTTGTTTAAATGAGCATTTTGTTGAGACAACAATATATAATTTTTGTACAAATCAATTTTTTTTTTAGAAAAAAATTTATAGAAATTTAGGTTATGTTGATAGGAGGATGTATAGTACATGACATCCGAAGAAATATACCTAGGCCACTATCGGGCCTGTTGTGCGCTCCTTTTCATGAAAAAAAGAAAAAAAAAATAATAAAAATTTGTTCACTGAGTATATTATTTTTCAATGTTCAGAAACTAAGTTTCCTGAACGTAATTCCTAAGAATTTTCCAATCAGTATTAATCAGAAATGTTATTTCCGAAATAACATACTTGGATCTAACTTCGACGAATGCTTGACAGTGGCAAAAAAGTGCTTCCAGAGTTTCACATGCTCTACATTCGTCTGAAATTTAAATAAATGTTTACTTGACAAAACTCTATAATTCATATTTTAAGCTGGATATCATATCAATAATGTCTTTGTTCAGTTCTGATAGAATAATAAAAAAACATTATTTTTTATGAAACTAAATACTTTATTTTGACATATACACGTATTATTAATTACATATACAAATAAATTGTTTATTATTTTATATAATATTTACTAAATATATTTTTATATAACATCCAAATAGTACGTACACTAAATACTACTAAAAAGTACATTTTAATGATTGTTATGGAAAATAATTCTTAAGGACTCAGTTTTATTATAAAAACTTAGAAAAAATATAAAGAAAACAAGGTCTGGTTCTTGCAGTCGCTTAAAGACAAATGTAGAAAAACTTTATTGAGAAATAAAAACTGCAGTTGTTGTCTCTATTAGCTGGTACACCTGGATATGTTTGTTAATTACTATATTTCAAGAATATAGCTTTAAAAAATGTTACATAATTAACAACTAGCAATAATGGAAAATAAAAAATAAAACATTTTTTACACCTATTGTAAAAAGGTAGCTTGTTGGTTAAAAGGTATTCACAATAACTCTAACTTAAAAATATTTATCACTCGAAATATGTTGTCATTCACACCATTTTGTGAATACCCTTTTTTACAAAATATGCATTTATTTTATTAAAGTTTTGTTTTGTTTTTTTTTTTTTTTTTTTTTTTTTGTATATTTTAGTTATAAATTTACATTTACTATTTTCTTTTATTTTATACTTTTTATATGCTTTTGTTATAAATTCTATTTATTTCTCCTTTTAGTTTCTCTTTTGTTGCTTTTGATATGATTGAACAGATTGTTTTCTGTTACAGTTTTGCTCCTTTTGAGATTTGTGTGTGTGTGTGTTTCACTGCCTTGGGAAACAATGGAAATTGTGTATGTAAATGAATTTTGGGCATTTCTTCATAAAAATTTTAAATATTAAAATTTCTGTACAGTATTGATTTTTATGGAAACTTTAAACCGTAATTAAATACGTACTGTATGGTCCAGATTATGTTTTGAAATTTCATATTTAAATATAACAAATAAAACAATTCAAATTTAATAATATATAACTATAGCCCAAAACCATTTACATATTACATTTTTTAAGCTTATACAAAAATAGGTTTTATAAAATCATGTTCTTCAATTTATACTATTTCACAGGAAGTCAGAAAAAACATCATTAAATGGATATGTTTTTTCACATACTATATAACAAAAAAAAAAGTTTTCTTGAGTTTTTTGCTTTACTTAAAGTAATCTCTCTAAATCCTCACTTTCCGCTTCGCTAGTAAATGAGTCTGTATCCGTAAAATAATCATCACCACGATTACGACGACAACAAACACGTCGATTAATCTCATCATCACTCCAATGTTCGAATTCCTCTTTATGATGCTCTAACAGCATAAGCGAAGGGAATAAACTATCACATCCGCCACATCTGGTGTTTGGGAGTAGATGAAGTAAATATGAAAAAAAGTCCGGAAAATAGAAAATGAAATTTAATTAATCTATCAATCAAACATATCTTAAAAAATTTCTTGTAATACATATTTTTTTATGTATTTGCAAAAAGTAAAAAAAAACTCTTACCCAAAATGTCGTTTCTTTTGTTGATGTGATGCCAGTTGCCTGTGACAATGGAATGCTCTATCACACACATTACAAGTCAGAGATTCATCTAAAAATTTATTAAAATATTAAAAATTGTGTTGACAAGTGTTTTGTATTATTGTGTTTTTTAATTTAATTGATGATTATTCAGATTAATACTAGGGTTCTATAGTTGAAACGAAAAGTCGACTATTCGACTTTTTGCATTTAAGTTAAAAGTCGACTTTTAGACTTTTCGACTTTGAGTATTATATAAATAGTAGACTTTTCGATTTTTTTCGACTTTTTTTTTTGACTATTTTCGACTTTTTTTCGACTACTTACTTTTTTCGAGTTTTTGACTTTTTTCCCACTTTTTTAAAATTTTCGACTATTTTTGACATTTTTCTACTATTTTCGAGTTTTTGACTTTTTTTTTACTTTTTTCGACCTTTTCCGACTTTTTTACGACTTATCGACTATTTTCGACTTATCGACTTTTTTTCGACTTTTATTTACAAAGTCGACTTTTCGACTTTTTTCATAGACGTTAGTCGAGTTACAGGCTTTTTTGGAACAAAATAGTCGACTTCGACTTTTCGACAAAAAGTAGATTGTTCGATTATTCGAAAGTCGATTTATAGAACCCTAATTAATACAAAATTGTAAAAGTTAATCAAAATTTTAATCAATATCATTATTATAAAAAATTTATGAAGCGAAATTATGAAACAATTAGTTTTATATTGCATAGAATGACACATTCTGAATGTCTAACATATATGACATACATTTCGTCATTTGATGGTTTTAAATAAAATACTTCTCGATTACATGTTTGATAGAATTTTAGAAAATTTAGATCTCGAAGAAATTTGGCATCTTTTATTTTAATAGGACAGACGGGCAAACAGACTGACGGACATAAGGATCCAGGCAAAATAATTTAGAATTTGCGCTAAAAAGTTGCAATATGCCCCTAAGTCCAAAATATGCAAAAATAAGCCCTTAAGTATGAATCGTGTAAATATTCTATTTATTTACGTATGAATATAACTCTGTGAAATTTTATTTTGTACTTTTAATCTTAATAATCCCATTAAAAAAATAACAAACTATTATTTTAGTTACCAATAAAACAACAATAAGTAATAATAAGCCAGAGTTTATATAACACATACAAACACTCACCATAATCATCATCGTCCGACATAGCCATTGCTTGTAATCGGTTTATTGTATTTTCGTTCACCTCTTTGTTGCAATACAGATGGGTTGTAGTGGAATTTCCTTTTAAAGCACCATTACTCGTCACCATCGTCGTCGCTGTTGTTCCACCACTACTGCCACCGCAAATATTGTATTGACATAAATTACTATCGGCATAATTTCCTTGACAATCGGCAGCTGTGCAGTGGCCACCATCATCGATACATGAATTATTTAAATCACCATTACAACAATTCAGCCCACTACAACCACTGTCATCTCCACTAAGACCACTACCACTACTTCCATTGCCACCACCCTCACCACCACCACTGTCTCCATCATTTGTATGTATGTGATTGTGATGATGATGATGTTGATGACACCCGTTGTGCAGTTGTTCCGTTGTAATTTTATTGGAATTGTTGCTATTGCCGTTTGCAGTAGCTGATGAAATCATGGCAAAGTTATCAATATCATCAAAAGGATCATCGATTTTATGTTTGGCAGAGGATGCATCATCTGAATCGACACTGAGACGTCCGTACGCTTTTCGTGGTGGTCTTTTAACGTATTTATCTGTAATAAAGTAACGAAATACAGGTAATTTTATTATAAGCTTTCTTTAATGAAAAATTGTTCGGTAAAGTTGATTTTGTATAAAATCTCTTAAATTTAAAAGGACTAAATTTACGTTTTGGGAGATAAAGTTGTCATAGCAAATTGCCATGAAGTAAGAGCTCGGTCCATTATTGATCGAATCTTTCCTTATAATGGAAATTAATAGACACAGTTTAAAATAAATCTACTAAATAATTTAATTGTTGTAATAAATTACTAAAGATACAATCACAAAGAGTTAATTAAATCCACATATAGGCCCGCATAATTTACTTAGAGTTTAAAATAAATGTTTTGATGTGAGTAGGAGTATATAAGATTCGGCATAGCTGAATATAACAACACACTTACTTTGTTTTCCTTTTCATTGTCTACTGTTTTAGTGTGGTTAAAAAATGTAATAAATCTTAAACAAGGATGGAACACAATATTGAAAGGCAATTCCTTTGATGCACATTAAAGAATGTTGAAAGTATGTTATAGAAAATAGGTGTGTTTTTAGGGTTTTCCTTAACATAGTATTAGTAAGGCATCCATACATATATGAAAATAAATTTACGGTAAAATCACGGTCTCATTTAGTTAGTTAGTTAGTTAGTTAGTTAGTTAGTTAGTTAGTTAGTTAGTTAGTTAGTTAGTTAGTTAGTAGTTAGTTAGTAGTTAGTTAGGTTAGTTAGTTAGTAGTTAGTAGTTAGTTAGTTAGTTAGTTAGTTAGTTAGTTAGTAGTTAGTTAGTTAGTAGTTAGTTAGTTAGTTAGTAGTTAGTTAGTTAGTTAGTTAGTTAGTTAGTTAGTAGTTAGTTAGTTAGTTAGTTAGTTAGTTAGTTAGTTAGTTAGTTAGTTAGTTTAGTTAGTTAGTTAGTAGTTAGTTAGTTAGTTAGTTAGTTAGTTAGTTAGTTAGTTAGTTAGTTAGTTAGTTAGTTAGTTAGTTAGTTAGTTAGTTAGTTAGTTAGTTAGTTAGTTAGTTAGTTAGTTAGTTAGTAGTTAGTTAGTTAGTTAGTTAGTTAGTTAGTTAGTTAGTAGTTAGTTAGTTAGTTAGTTAGTTAGTTAGTTAGTTAGTAGTAGTAGTTAGTTAGTTAGTTAGTTAGTTAGTTAGTTAGTTAGTTAGTTAGTTAGTTAGTAGTTAGTTAGTTAGTTAGTTAGTTAGTTAGTTAGTTAGTTAGTTAGTTAGTTAGTTAGTTAGTAGTTAGTTAGTTAGTTAGTTAGTTAGTTAGTTAGTTAGTTAGTTAGTTAGTTAGTTAGTTAGTTAGTTAGTTAGTTAGTTAGTTAGTTAGTTAGTTAGTTAGTTAGTTAGTTAGTTAGTTAGTTAGTTAGTTAGTTAGTAGTTAGTTAGTTAGTTAGTTAGTTAGTTAGTTAGTTAGTTAGTTAGTTAGTTAGTTAGTTAGTTAGTTAGTTAGTTAGTTAGTTAGTTAGTAGTTAGTTAGTTAGTTAGTTAGTTAGTTAGTTAGTTAGTTAGTTAGTTAGTTAGTTAGTTAGTTAGTTAGTTAGTTAGTTAGTTAGTTAGTTAGTTAGTTAGTTAGTTAGTTAGTTAGTTAGTTAGTTAGTTAGTTAGTTAGTTAGTTAGTTAGTTAGTTAGTTAGTTAGTTAGTTAGTTAGTTAGTTAGTTAGTTAGTTAGTTAGTAGTTAGTTAGTTAGTTAGTTAGTTAGTTAGTTAGTTAGTTAGTTAGTAGTTAGTTAGTTAGTTAGTTAGTTAGTTAGTTAGTTAGTTAGTTAGTTAGTTAGTTAGTTAGTTAGTTAGTTAGTTAGTTAGTTAGTTAGTTAGTTAGTTAGTTAGTTAGTTAGTTAGTTAGTTAGTTAGTTAGTTAGTTAGTTAGTTAGTTAGTTAGTAGTAGTTAGTTAGTTAGTTAGTTAGTTAGTTAGTTAGTTAGTTAGTAGTTAGTTAGTTAGTTAGTTAGTTAGTTAGTTAGTTAGTTAGTTAGTTAGTTAGTTAGTTAGTTAGTTAGTTAGTTAGTTAGTTAGTTAGTTAGTTAGTTAGTTAGTTAGTTAGTTAGTTAGTTAGTTAGTTAGTTAGTTAGTTAGTTAGTAGTTAGTTAGTTAGTTAGTTAGTTAGTTAGTTAGTTAGTTAGTTAGTTAGTTAGTTAGTTAGTTAGTTAGTTAGTTAGTTAGTAGTTAGTTAGTTAGTTAGTTAGTTAGTTAGTAGTTAGTAGTTAGTTAGTTAGTAGTTAGTTAGTTAGTTAGTAGTTAGTTAGTTAGTTAGTTAGTTAGTTAGTTAGTTAGTTAGTTAGTTAGTTAGTTAGTTAGTTAGTTAGTTAGTTAGTTAGTTAGTTAGTTAGTTAGTTAGTTAGTTAGTTAGTTAGTAGTTAGTTAGTAGTTAGTTAGTTAGTTAGTTAGTTAGTTAGTTAGTTAGTTAGTTAGTTAGTTAGTTAGTTAGTTAGTTAGTTAGTTAGTTAGTTAGTTAGTTAGTTAGTTAGTAGTTAGTTAGTTAGTTAGTTAGTTAGTTAGTTAGTTAGTTAGTTAGTTAGTTAGTTAGTTAGTAGTTAGTTAGTTAGTTAGTTAGTTAGTAGTTAGTAGTTAGTAGTTAGTTAGTTAGTTAGTTAGTTAGTAGTTAGTTAGTTAGTTAGTTAGTTAGTTAGTTAGTTAGTTAGTTAGTTAGTTAGTTAGTTAGTTAGTTAGTTAGTTAGTTAGTTAGTTAGTTAGTTAGTTAGTTAATTAATTATTAGAGTATATTAGGGTATATTAGGGTGTCCGGTGGATACTTTTTTGACACATACCCTGAACGAAACATATTACTAAACTGAATGCGATTAAAAAAATTAGATCGTCTTCAATTCCCTACCAGCGGATGTCTCTTAACAATTATCGCCATCCTATTACAAATACATATTATTGAATACAAGCACATTTTATGTTTTCCCTTATGAAAAATAATGAATACATTCTGACTAAATAGCAAATAAATTGCTGATCTATATATTATTCTTGATAATTTTATGTTTCTTCACGTAACTTTCTGCTTGCTCACGTCTTTAATATACTTTACAATGGGTTGAGTTTTCTACAAAGTTTGTTAGTTCATGTACATATATATAACTTACTGAGATAGTTGTTTTTGTTTTTTCGTCAATGATTTTTTTTTTGAGAAAACCAAAATTTTACTTACCTATCGTAAGTGTTTGGTTTTAATTTTAATTTACTCACGAGTCTATTTATTTGTTTGAAAGTAATGATGTACGTGCTTTATTAAAAAAAAACTATAGAGTATAGTATTTAATGAATGAAACAGGAAATCAGGATGACTTGTAGATACTACAGGTAACTCATGTACTAAAAAATTAAAGTCATTGAACAAATTTAGCAATTTTTCATTTATTTTCGTCAAAAAATTTTTTTCTCTGAAACGTCTGATATCAGAATTTTTGAAGCTAATTCAGAGTTTCGAAATTAATATCATGATTTTGCCCGAATTGTAAGATTTTTTCTTAGACACTCTACAAAACTTATCACAAATTTTTATGTTAGACTTTTTGCATATCCTAAAGGAATTTCGGAGCATACTAAATTCTGACTGACAAATCGGAAATTTCTCAATGATTTTTGACCGACGAAGGATTATAGCAGACTGTATAGTGCGATGTCTATTCGAATTCCTCAAAACGTGTGAAGAAAGTATTTCAAATTCATGACTTACATACATTTTTACTTAATTTTTTCTTGGTGGGAGATAAGCTTTTTTAACCTTTCAGCATGCCAAAGTAAATAATTTAATATTGATTTTATAGCAAAGTGTTCGTTTTTGTTTTTTTGTATTTTTTTTTTATTTTTTACGAAAATAAATGAGCGAACGTGTAAGTGTGTTGTATGTATGTATATTCCCTAAAGTAAAGTAAACCATTGAAATTGGATTTTTTTTAAATCTTTCCAAAGTATGATACTTTAATTGTGAATAAAAGGCTTAAGAAAATGAATACTTGAATTGGTATTAAAGATATATATTTAATAGAAATTCTAAAAAAAGAATTTAAATTAACATTTAATGTGATTTATAAGTACTTTGTAAAGCAATAAAAATGCACATTTAATAAATAATTAATTAAAATTTATTTTCTTAGATTTAAATATTGTCAATATTGAATACGATTTATAATGATTAAAAAATTATTTTATATTAACATATTACTGATATTAAAGCAAATACAGTTTATAAAATTTAGCTATAGGACATGTTTGATGTTTTTGTTTTTATATTATACTAGCTATACCCAGTGTGCTTTGCTACCCTAAAAGGAATATGTATAAATAAAAATCCCACTTAACGATTTTAAAGATCCTTACTACAATAGTTTTCCAGATTTATAATATGTTACATATGAGAGAATTCTATCTATCGCCAATTTCTATATATCTATAAAAATTTGAATAATATAAGAGTTTCCAAGATGCACGAAATTTTGTATTTAATTCATATATGTTGTGCCAAGCCACCCATTGAAAGTCCGCCCGTTATGCTCTAAATGTTCACATGAATTTCAAAGTTCTTCATGTAAAATTTGAAGATTCTAGCTCTAATAGTTTCTCAGATATATGAATTTTTCTATTTGATTCATGTGGGGGCTTCAAGCTCGCCACATGAAAGTCCAAAATGTTCAGATGAATACTAAACTAATTTGTGCATAATTTTATAAATCAAGTTCTATTAGTTTCCCAGATAAACGAAATTTTATATTTAATGCATATGGGAGGTGCCAAATTCCCCATTGAAAGTCCGCCCGTCATGCTCTAAATGTTTACATGTATTTCAAAGTTCTTCATGTAAAATTTGAAGATTCTAGCTCTAATAGTTTCTCAGATATACGAATTTTTCTATTTGATTCATATGGGGGCTTCAAGACCCCTCCAGGTGAAAGTCCGCTTTTTTTCCTCCAAAATGTTCACATGAATATTTAAGTTCTTCGTGCAAAATTTGAAGAATTTAGTTCCATTAGTTTTCCAGATAAACGAATTTTTGTCTTTAATTAATATG